GAACCCAAGGAGAGCCTCTTCCCACAATAGTCCACTTTCTTTTTTATTGAAACGACCAAGGAAACAAACAGTTGTCAAACACACTTGAGGAGAGTTACTTACCTCCTAAACTTGATTAGCTGCTGATGGTGAATGTATCACCTGGCTCTTTTCAATCTTGGCATATGCAACTCACTGTCCTTGGCAAATAAAAAGGTTCTGTAGGATGCTTGTCAATGCTCTGGTATGGAGTGCTGAGCATGTTGACCACATGCAAACCAGCCAGTTCTCGCCTCTCTAGGATGTTCCTTTTGACAGAAGAATAGTACACAATGGCCAGCTCAATCTAGGGCATTGGAATTTGAAGACATCACAGCCAATTCTTGCATCTACAAGAACAAACAATGGAGGCTGAAGTGGAATCCAGAAAAGCTTACCTTCCATATACCAACTTATAGCATGGAAGGAGAGTCCTGCAGCCAAGTTGTGACACAGAGAAAGAGAGGCCAAGCTGTGACACACACACACACACACAGCTTGCAGCTCACAATCTGCCTTAAAAATTTCCTTGATTTGGAGCGTCATTAAAATCACATTGAAGCATTGCCACCCCTTTGGCACTTGATCTATGCTGTCTATTTGAAGTTTTTGAATTTAAACCGTTAGATTATAAGCATATTCACAAATAATATTCTCAAAATGGAATAAAAGACGCCAGATGCCATATGCCAATATCACTTTTAAATAAGGGAGTACTAGCAAAAGTCCCAGCTACGCTGGGAGCATCGTGTTTATTCCTGATGTTTTAGTAATTTCAAAGAGTTGTAATTGTAATTGTAATTTTTAACATAATCATTATTATAGCATACATAATTAAACATAATATAATATTTATATTGAAAGTCCCTTTTACATAATTTATGCTTAATATATAAATTATTGTTATATTATAACATGCTATATTATAATGTATATATAATTTTTTGTTTTTTTAGTATCATGATTTTAATGATATTAAAATATTATAGAATAAGTTATTAATATCTTAAATCATAATTTATAGTATAATTTGTGTAACCAGAAGCCCATGCATGCATTTTCATAAAGTGTGGAATACAAATAGATTTCCTATTCCATCTACATGATCAACAAGAAATAGATGTGACTCACTCTTATTGTTTAATGCTAGCTTCCAATAGTGCTGGCTGGATGGTGTCACCCTAATAACTTGGATATGAGCATACATCACTTTTTTTCTCTGTGGCAAGTTGGCACATTGTGGCAGCATTACATCTTGAATCTCTATCAGATCCTCATCACTATCAAGCTTCAAAAAAGCTAATCAGCTCACTACCCTGGCCTGAATTACCCTAATGCCTGGCTAGATAAAGAAGATATATCTTAGCCCACATATCAATGTAGAGTTCAAATGGCCAGTCCCGCATGTAGAGCTTCTACATTGGAAACAATTTTCCAAAGATATTTGTCATCACAACGTCTGCTTTCCATTGAAAAAAAATGCAAAGGAGACATGATAATGCATTGAGAGAAAAAATACAAGAAACAACCTTGTGTTTCTTTCAGTTAGATTCACTGTTTGTTTCAGAGTTCAAGTAAAAAAGGTTTCTCACGAAAAGAATAGCAGATTGTATAATTTATGATGTTGAAGTGTTCAGAGTACATCCACACTTTCATACTTTGCATTTATACATTTTTATAAGTAACTAAAATTTATTTTCAAATATAATACCTACAGTCAAAAAAGTTATATGTGTATTAATACTAAATTATAATAGTGCATTAGCATTTGCATCAATAGGTGCAAACATTGAAGAGGTTGCAGTAGGTGACCCTTATTATTTTAAAATACATGGACAAGTTTATCATAATATTGGTTTATTCACAGTTATATATTTTAGATACTGCTCAAGTAACAGAAATAAGTATGGTAAATAAGTATTGAAATAATAAATCAGTGATATGATTTGTGATTTTTTGAGAACATTTGCTTGTGCTTCATCAGCATTTCACTTGACAAGTTCTTGTCAACTCATCCATGATGTTTTGCATTTTATCTAACACTTATTTTGCTTTTACTTTTGATTGTTGCCTACTTGACGGTTTGTTTGCATGGTTGGGTGTGTAGAATTTATTGTCTTTATCCATCTTCCTCTTGCCACTTTTTATGATTAGAAACTTAATACATACATAGGTAAACTTCATGTTTATGTTAAGCATTAGTCCTTAATTCTTACCATCACATCTCACCATTGTGGAGTTATCATTCTCCATCTCTTAAAAAATTTGGAGAGGTTTTTTTTTAATCAACCTAACTTCTTTTGAGCCATCCATCAAAACTCTTATTCAGTTTCTATATAATAGTTGTGCTAACAGTGCATATACACGTGACTTAGATAGAAAATAAAGAGATAGTTTGAATTCAAGTCTCGGCAATAATGAAGCTCCTACAAAGCACAGAACTCATATGCTCACGCTTCACACACTTAAGCATATCCATCGCCACCTTTTGATCATCTCTCCAAGTCCTCATGAACTTTACAGGCACTAAGCAGTCACTAAGAAGTGAATGACATTCTCTTGATGAACCTATCTGCATCTTGTATTAGTTTAGTTCTCTTGAGAAAGTCTCCCACAGTACGTGCTCGTGTGATAAGTCCACATTATCCACATTCTCATTATCATCAGGGTCATACAAGAGTGGAAGTGCCTGGAAATTTAGAAGCAGAGAAAACATTGTTCAAGTTATTACTTTCTGATCATTCCCAGAAGAAATAAGTGAAGAGTTAGGCAGCACACTGAGTACAAGAGTCACCAAATCTGTGATCCATACGCCACAAATAGTTGAGAACCGTATGGAACTGTTTGCAGGACTTTCCCAGAGGCTCATTATGCGAAGCCAATGTTGTTGTTGTCCTTGTGTTCTCCACCACATCATGTGAAGGAAAGACAGAGACAAATAGGGATCATCATAACAATCTCGAGGCTACCCCACCATGTGGAGATGATTCCAGTGGAGTGGTTCCATAAAGCTTCTCGATCTAGGCCCCAAGAACATGTTATATTGAAATCCCTAGCAATGGCACTACCACAGAGAATGCTACCGTCCCAACTCCATGCTCAAGCCCTGGAAGAATGCGTGAAGCCCTATCTTCCGGCCTGCTATGAGAGTTCTAAACAGCACGGGAGGGATTTTTTTTGGTGGGTTCCTCTTCGCAGTGAATGGATTCTCTTTAGTGAGTGTGCAGTTCCATGTGCTGATATCAGTAGCACTAAAGAGGAGGAAAATTCTGTATTGGGACAGCGAGCATAACTGCGAGTGTGCGCTCATATTTACATGATTCTGAGTCTGCGCAAGCGTGGAATTTAAGTAAGCTTTTGCAAAAGTGACCGTGAGTGATATGGTGTAAGCTTTGCATTGCTTACTTGTTGCTTAGTGCTTCAACAGGAATACCAGAGGAGAAGAGACATCTTGTGACAGGCCAACTCTAGGCTCCATGGTTCATGTGGAGTACACAGCCTGATTATGTAGAGGAGCTGTTGATATAAATGTAGAGAAGCAAGGTGACTTTGAGCTTGAACTGAGCAGTGGGCTTGTACTTGGCCTTCTCGACACATATGTTACTGTTATGTGTGTTGGTCAGAGTGCTCACTTAGAGCAAAGAGGGAAAGACATTTGCTATTTTTTGTAGCCAGTCAAGGGTAGAAGACACCTTATATATAATGTAGTATTACAACACAAATACAATTGAATCTGGCACCACTTCACTTAATTTGTCCTCAGACATGTGATGCTAATAGTAATTGGATTTGTACAGCACCATGTCCTTGTAGAGAAACGCATGGTCATCATTACCACTTCTAGAGCTGCTGCTCTGGATCACTGCCACCACGTTGAAGCTCACCTTGCCTCAAAGTGATAGAGCAAACCAGGACCTCATCAATCGGGTGATGACGGACCCTGTAAGATCTTCATCCCTGTCCCTCGTGAGATCTTCGTCCCTGTCCCTCGCACTGCCCTTCTCACCTGGCTGCTACGTACATGTGACTGATCCCAAACTGGTGGAGGATTCTCATGGCCTTGAGATCTTCTCACTGGTGATGCTGCTGCTGCTACTGCTGTGATTCAGACTCCAAATCTCCTCTCTCTCTCTCTCCAGCCACTGCTGTCGTTGATCAGATAGCGATATGTAGTGGAGCTTAAATTTTGTATCCTGGATCCACATGAGAATGACGTGATAGCAAAGAGCAAGACTTACCTGTAGCATTAAGTCGACTCTACCATTGGGACTTCTAGATAGCCTTTCTGTCACCATACTACCATAAAAAGCTGTGACAAAACCATACCCCAACCGAAGAACTTCCTCTAGCTTTGATAGCAAAACTTACAAAGCACTATGTTTACCTGTATCCCAAGATATTCACTGACTTTCTCCAAAAGGAATAGATATCAGAGGTTCCACTCTGTAATCAAGACGAAAGGATAAATGTAAACACTGCTAACACAGCAGTATATTGATACCTGTAAGTGACCGGATCATATGGGTGAAATATGTTTGTTCATCATTTGCCTGCATGCTGGCTTTTTTTCTTCAATGCCTTCATCTTCCCAGTACTCATGACCTGTTCTTTTGCAAACACATTCAACTTACGTTGCAAAGACTGTAAATCACATACATACCCATTTCCAAAGCATTCATTGTGGAGACTCAGAAACAGTGACAACTGCAAAAAATGCGAGAAAGAAACTTATCAACAGTGAAGAATCAAGGAGCTCACTCTCCTTGTTTCGTTCCTAATGCTGCAAAGTGACACGAGAGAGAGTTAGACATGAAACCCTCAGATATGAACAGCCATAACTGTTATAAGAGAGTATTCCATCATGTCCTTCAAGCCAGTTTTTTTGTGCTTGACTGCCAACATTTCCTCAAGAGAACTTGTCATAAACTGAAGAGCACCATGTATGGCTGTCCCGTATGACTATCCATGTTGAGACTACAGGGTTTATAGCGCTGCAAAATAGAAATCCCTCTCAATGCTTTAAAAATGCAAAACTGAAGAACAAGGAAGCAAACCGTGGACGAAAATTTCTATTTTTTCTCTTGGTTCCAGCCTCAAGGACCTGGAACAAACAGGAACTTTAAGCCTCGAAAGAGAATAGCGAAGAGCAAGAGAGTGAAAAACCTTGATTCTAGTCGTGGTTCCAGCCTTGAGAACCTGGAACAAACAGGGACTTGAGAGACCCGAAAGAAGAATAGCGACAAGCAAGAGAGTGAAGAACCTTGATTCTAGTCGTCGATGACAACGTGAATCCCCTCATTGTCCGAGACGTCGTCCCTGTCGTAGCTCCATCCATCATAGCCTCTTCGCCTTTCACTCCCAATCCTCGTCGCATTTCCGAGCAGAGCACGTCGATCTGCCAAATGCACCTGTGCAGGGGAATGCTGGTGGATTTGTTCCCTGCATAAGTCTGGAAGGCGTCGATCCTGTTCTCACTGATCATCGAGCACAACTATGGCGACACAGAGAAAGCCGTGAGCCTCTCAAACCTTTGCAAATGGAGAAAAAAACACAACCTTGTTGTAATAGGCTGGAGCTTTCAGCTGCTTAGGATCGTTATCCAGTGCTGTTCCCAGGACTTCTTCCGGAGCTGTCGAAAAACGAACGCATTAGAGTTTTTTCTAGTGTCTAAATCGAAGGAACTCACTCAAAGGTGTTGGATAAGGAACAAATGCGGGTTGCGGCTTTTGGTAGGAGGTTTTTGGTCCCTCGCCAGGCTCGATGCCACCATTGCTGCGATTGGCCGTAATATCTTGGTCATCCTGGAACATCTCAAGTTAGAATCGCAGGGACGACAATAGGGGGTCGAGACTCTTTTACCAGATGATATTCTGCATTAGTACTTTTTCCATAAGTGCGACTCGCGCTAGTCCAAATTCTTCA